GAGAGAGAGAGAGAGAGTGGCTTCATAACAAGCCCCCCCCCCCACTCCTCCTCCCCCCCCCCACTCCTCCCGCCGCGCACCTCGCACGGTCCACCCTCGCCTGCTCGGCCCACGGCGCCTTCTCCTCGTCGCTCAGCGCCCGCCACCGCTCCCCGACAAGCTTGGCCAGCTCCTTTGCGTCCAAGTACAGGCCGCCGCCGCCGCCGCCGCCGCCGCCGCCGTCGACATCACCACCGTCGGCGCCTCCGTTGCCTGCGACACGCTCCGCCGGTACTTGGCGGAGTCCGGCTGGTGTCGACATCGCCACCGCCGCCGCCGCGCGGCTCTCGGCATGCGCTTGCTGCACCGCGGACTTGGTCGCGTGGAAGAAGAGGAAGTACGAGGTCTGCGGCGGCTTTGGCGCCCCCTGCAGACGCGCGGCGCCGCGTCACCGTCCCGAGAGGATGGCAGCCGCCCCGTTGGCTGAGTGTCTCGTCTTGTGGTTCTGTGTGTCGCTCCTGTGTGACCGTCACCGCCCGTCTCGCGTCCACCCATACCGCGCTGGTGTCCAGCCGTTGGTCGGACTGTGTTTCGCCTTCCCATCTATCTATCTAGAGGATGGCTCCGAGGCGGTTCCGAGGCGGTTCAGAGGCGGTTCAGAGGCGGCCCGAGAGAGAGGCGTCTCTGTGACAGTCTCGGCAGGGGCGACGTGACGGCGCCTCTTGCCGCTCTTGCCGCTTCCGCTTCTTCTGGCCGTGTTGCTTCTCGCGCGTCGCGTCGCTTCGCGGCCTCGGCTCGAACTGCGGCTCGCGCGGCCTCGCCGCCTCCCGCGCGTACGCCACGGCCGCCTGCAGGAGAGGGTCCGAGACGGGTCGGGGGGGGGGAGGCTCAGGGGAGGGCTCGCCGCGCGTGCGCCACGGGAGGCCTCGACGGCGGTGGCGAAGACGCCGAGGTGGGTGTGGCCCGACTTGCTCACGCCTGCGGGAGACGGCATGGACGTGTCGTGGACGTGTCGTGGACGTGTCGTGGGTGTGTCGTGGACGTGTCGTGGGCGTGTCGTGGACGTGTCGTGGACGTGTCGCGAGAGGAGTGCTGAGAGGCGGGCGAGGTGGCGCCCTCGCCCTCGTTCTGTGGAGCTGCAGCTGCTCTCTCGGCTCTCTCGGCTCTCTCTCGGCTCTCTCTCGGCTCTCTCTCGGCTCTCTCTCGGAGATCTCGTTCCGTGGAGCTGCAGCTGCGCGCTGAAGGGGCGAGAAGGCAGCGGCCTGCGGGGAGACGACAGCGGACATGTCGCGGGCGCGTCCCGCTGGAGAGCCGCGCGAGAGGGGCGGCAGAGGCGAGGGCGGTGGCGGGGTGGGCGGAGATGGTGAGGGCGGTGGAGATGGCGAGGGCGGTGGAGGGGGCGAGGGCGGTGGAGGGGGCGAGGGCGGTGGAGGGGGCGAGGGCGGTGGAGGGGGCGAGGGAGGCGGAGGGGGCGAGGGAGGCGGAGGGGGCGAGGGCGGTGGAGGGGGCGAGGGAGGCGGAGGAGTGGGCGGTGGTGGGCGAGGGAGGCGGGCAGGCCTGCCGCGGGCGACGATCAGGCGCACGCCGCGGTAGCCCGTCTCCGACTTTGAGCTCAGGTGCAGCCTCACCCCCTCCGCCTCCTCGAGCAGCGGCTTGGAGAGGAGGGCCCGTCGCGCCTAGCACGGTGTGTGTGTGTGTGTGTGTGTGTGTGTGTGTGTGTGTGTGGTGGTGGTGGGGGGGGGGGGGGGGAAACGGCCGCCAAAAGGCTGCGGCAAAAGCGGCGAGGGCGGTGGCGAGGGCGGAGGCGGCGAGGGCGGAGGCGGCGAGGGCGGAGGCGGCGAGGGCGGAGGCGGCGAGGGCGGAGGCGGCGAGGGCGGAGGCGGCGAGGGCGGAGGCGGCGATGACGCCTCCTCGTGCGCCGCCGCCGCCGCGTCAGCCTCCGCCTTGGTAGGCGAAGGAGCTGCCACTCGAGACACCTTGGGCTCGAGGAGGGCGCGCGCCTGTTCACCGCCGGAGGCGTGAAAGAGGCGCCGTTCACGGCCACGCTGACGGCTCGGTGGAGAGAGTGGCGCGCGTACGCCACCGCCGCCTCCGCCTTGGTGGCGAAGAGTCCGAGGTGGCGGTAGGTCTTGCCGCGCTCGCCTTCGCTCACCTGCGCCTTGAAGCCGCCGCGGCACGCGACAGCGGTCACGCCTTTGTAGCCCGTCTGCGAGCGCGCGCTGAGGTGCAGCCTGACGCCGCCCGCCTAATCTCGGGTGATCTCGGGTGATCTCGGGTCATCTGCCATCGAGGTGCAGCTGGCGCCGCCCGCCTCGGCCACCGCCGGCGCCGCGAGCTCGGCCAGAAAGCGGGAGTCGTTCGCCCCGAGGGAGGCGTCTCCATGCCCCGTCCCGCCAGAGGGGTGCCACCCAAGAAGCCCGTCAAGGCCACGGCTGCCCGCGGCGTGGCAGGAGTGGTCGCCGCCAGGGGCGCCTCCGTCGGCGATTGCGTCCGGCGAGCCCGCATCGCCCCCACTACCCCCGCCCACCGCCTTCTCGTCATCGTCCGACTCGCCACCGTGGGACGCGCCCACGCCCTGCGCCGCCGCTCGCACCGGCCGAGCGCCCCGCAGGGCGACGCTCGGCCGGGACGAGAGCGGCGTGTCGTCCTCCTCGCTGTCCACATCCTCCTCACTGTCGGCCTCGCCGCCGCCACCATTGCCGCCGCCGCAACCCGCGCCGCCCGACACCTCGCCCGCCGCAGCGGGTGAGCCGTCGGAGGCCACGCCGACGAACGCCGGACGGAGCCGGGCGCCGGCCTGCTGCGTCTGCTGCGGTGGCACAGCCGGACGAGCAGGGGTGATCTGCGAAGAGCGTGCCCACCGTTCGACGTGCCGGAGCCACGTGTTCATCTTCGAGGTGAGCGCCGGCTTGTCCGCCGCGGCGAGCGCGCCGCTGCCGGGAGGCATCTCCTCAAGCTGCCGCGCCGACTGGCGGCAGAGGTGCAGGTTGACGTTGCCTTCGGCGTCGCGGTACGGCAGCAGCCGCGCCTCGCGGAGGAGGAAGCGGGAGGCGGAGAGCCCGGGTATGTCGATTTCAGCGAGCGGAATGGCGCTGTAGGACGAGGAGGACATTCGAACTGGGAGCACTGCTCTGGGAAATGTAGTGGAGGGCACGATGGCCGGGGCCGGCACGATGGTATGATGTTAGCCAAAAGAAATAATGCCCGCGCGGTCCCTCGCGGCCGCGCGACGCCGCACCAATGCGCAATGGCGCGCTGTGCCTCGTCCGCGTGTGAGTGAGTATTTATTGATACGAAACCACGACGACACACACCAGTCGACTCGCATCGGTTCGTTGGAATGCGCGGGGAGCTCTTCGCACTCTCTAGGGGTTGGAGCGATGTCTCGCCCCACTAGTACCTCACTTTCGTACTCTCTGTTTGTCTTGCGTGACACTTGTGCCTCCACACTGTCCAGTGTGATTCATCGTGTGGCACGCACGCCGACGCGCTCGCTTTCTTGTGCGGCGTCTCGTGCTGCTCGCTTTCAGTTCTGTTTCTGTACTTGGCCTGTATATACCCTCCTCCGTCCGCGCGCCGCCGGGCGCGAGTGGGAGCCTCGTGCTCTCCCGATCAAACGCGGTTGCCTCCATGAACGGCAGAGCTATTCTCGCGTCCACACCACACCTGGCTCCAACGTGGACACACGCCCATAGCTGGGGACACTACTAGGTCAAGCATGGCATCAGCGATCAGAAGTTTTATCTCTGGGCCCCGAAAGGCATCTCTAGCGCACACACAACAAAACTCTCTCTCTCTCACACACACACACAAAACAACACACACCTCGTCCGCGACCGACACCGCGAGCGCCGTGCAGAGCAGCGAATCCTCGCTACCCAACGCGGCCAAAGGATAGATCTATCCACCTCGAGAACCTCGAGTGAGTGAGTGAGTGAGTGAGTGTACAGAACCTCGAGAGCAGCGCACACTGCGGAAATTTTTGTCGGAAGACTGACCCCCTTTATTCCGAGAGGCCCACGCGAGGCGGCTCCAGCCTCCTCATACCGCGCGGCGTAACCTGGAGCCAGGTGTTGCCGCAGGATGCTGGGGGGAGGCAGCCCCGCACCGCCAAACGCGCGCTCGAGCGAGACACACTTGCCTGTCACCACCCGTCCACATATTCCGCATGCTGGCGAGGGCATTCCGATCAGGAAGAGGCGAGCAAAAGTCAAGTAGGTGAGCATGCAGTTGGCACAGTGGAGGCCACGCCTGGACGCTGGCCGAAACCCGCACGCGCTTAAGAGAACGGACACGTCCGCCGCGGGCGCCTGAACGCGGCCGCGGGTGGGAGGGGCCCAAACGGCGCGTCGCGGGGCGGATGGCCGTTTCACTTTAGCTTTAAAAAGAGAGAATGGCGTGAATTCAACTTTCAAAAAAAGGTAGAGAAGGATTGCGAATCCTCTCCTGGCTTTGCGTACGAAGAAGAAATCAATGTCCGCGGTTCCCACCGACCGACCGTTGGAGGAGCGGCGGCCGAAGGCTCTGATATGACAAGCGCGTGGCTCCGGCTACGGCCGAACGGCGCTGGGCAGGACGAGGAGTGGACGGCGCCGCTGCCGTCCTCGCTCGCGGACCTCCAGAAGATCCTCTTGGAGGCGGCGGCGCGCGTGCCTCACGCCTCTCACATCTTTGACGAGGGGGGCAACGAGGCTGAATGGCTGGACCTCGAGGCGGGTAAGATCTACTACAAGGCGGACGACGTGTTTCCGCCGCCGGGGAGCAAGCGGTTCCGCGTAGACGCGGGCGGTGCGACGGGCGGCACGAGCGGCAACACCGGCGGCGGGGCTGACGTCGAGCGCGGGCACTCGTGCATCTACGGCGAGGAGGCTGCCGCCGCGAGCAAGGCGCGTGCCGTGCGGTCAGAAGAGCTCGGACGGCGCCGCGCTCACAAGATTTGAATAGCACCCATGCTATTCACCCTCCCTTCCTCTCTGCGCAGGCCACCGCGGGGGCCGACAATGCGCAGTAATACTCCTCCACGCCGCCCCTGCCCCCTTGCGCGTGCGCTCGCTGCCCCGCGCGCGGGCGCGTCGACCCATCTCTAAGATGAGGTCGCGTGTCACCAACGCAGCTATGCGTGCACAGCTTGGGTAGGGGGGTCGGGGAGGGGGGTTACTGCCCTCCCTGATGTCTAGCTAAGCCCGCTACCGCCGCCACAGCGTCTTCGCCCCCTCGATCGATCCCGGCCGCGAGGCCACCCCCGCCCGCCCGCCCGCCCGCCCGCGTGCCCGCCCGCCCGCCCGCGTGCCCGCCCGCCCGCCCGCGCGCTGCAGCCGCGACTCCCCCTTCGCGCCTCTGACGCACAAGCCCGCGCTCCTCTGACTTGCAGGCGCAGCCCAAGCGGCTTTCAGAGAGCGACACGGAGCGCTGGAGGCAAACGCAGCGAGAGCAGGTGCCGACCCACCTCGGTAGGGCCCCACCTCAACAAGAATGCCTCCTGCTCACTCGCCTCTCCTTTCAGCCCGCGCGCGGGTGGACTAGGATAGCAAACCACCCGAGAGGAGAGGTCATGCGTCGCGCCCGACCGCGCACGCACGCCCTACCCAGCCGCCCACGTAACGCGGGTGCACCTGTCGTAGGGGAGGATCCCACCGCAGACCGGCAAGGTGAGCAGCCCAAGGGCCAAGGATGACACGGAGGTCGTGCGCGTGCCCTTCGCGCTCACCAAGGTGACGTTGATACAGACGCAAAGACTAACCACCCCCCGACGGCTCTCCCCCCCCTCCACGTCACCCCAACGTAAACTGCACCGACAGCGCTTCCCCCCCCTCTCCCTCCGCTGCAGGAGGAGGAGGAGGAGTGGCGGCGGAACTTCGCGGCCCCCGACAAGACGGCCCCGCTCTGGATGCGCGTTGCGGCCGCGGTCATCAAGGCGAACCTCGACTTCAAGGGGAGCTGCGCGTGCCCCGTCACGCTCTGGGAGGGCATGCAGCCCGGAGACATCGACGTCCTGTACACCAGCAAGCTGGAGGACGCGATCGCCGCGATGAGGGTCGCGCTTACCGCTGCTGCGCTCATCGTGACGCGGACATGGGGGGAGGCGTGCAAGGACAAGATCTACTACCTCGAGGTGGTCGACCCGTTGCGGCGCGACGACACGTTCGTCATCGAGCTCATCAGCCCCTCCCTCCACTCGAACGCGCCGCAGCTGTCTACGGTGCAGTCATTTGTCGTCAGCGGCGGCGCGGCGCCGTGCTTGCAGGTGATGCTGCCGGCGGGGCGAGCGGCCAACATCGACGACGAGGTGGCGGCCATCGCGAAGGACGTGAAGGGCCGTACCTTCCACCTGTACCGCACGCCTCGCTCGCTGGGGGACGCGCGCAGCGTGGTGAAGCTTGTGGATAAGAAGAAGTACCTGCCCGCCGACGACAAGGCGGGCTTCTACGTGGAGTGGGCGCGCGGGCGCGTCGCCCGCGCCGACTCCGAGATCGATGCGGACCTCTTCTTCACGTGCTCGGGCGCCGCGCCCGAGGCCGTCCGCGTGCTCGTGCAGCGCGTGGAGCTGAGGTACAAGGCGCTCGGCGACGTGGACAAGCGGAGGGCTCGCGGGCTGCTCGCCGGCTTCGGCAACGCCTGCACCATGGAGGGCGCGCTCACCCGATTCAGCGACGGGCAGCTCGAGGCGCCGCAATTTGGAAGCCCATCTCGAGTGCCGAGTGCCGGGCTCAGTGCGAGTCGGGCCACACTATAGGCGATGCTCAAGCTCGCCCCGGCCCTCGACGACTTCGACGACCCGCTCGGCTTCTCGGATGCCATCCCCGACTTCCTGGAGCTGATGAGCGTGAAGGACGTCGACAACATCAACCAGGGCTCGTACATCGCCGTGGGCTGGATCCGGACTTCGGCCCTGAGGCTCGTGCTGTCGGCGGCGGTGGCGCTGGCCCGTGACGTGTCCACGACGTGTCACAGTTGTATTGTGTAGGCGGCTGCACGACTTCCTCCAGGGGAAGCCTCAGTCCAAAGCCGTCTGGGAGGCGGTGAATGCTCGCAGCGTCGGCTCGACTAACACGCAGCGGCCCCTCGATCTGCAGCTCGCCGTCCTGAGGACGCGGGTCGAGGCCCTCCTCGAGCAGGTGGAGGAGTCTGAGCGGCAGGAAGGGCGCGTGTACCTCCTCGTGATGGCGGGCAAGGGCCGAGACGTCAATTTTGCCGGCGACCGCAGCAAATATGGCGAAATCAACTCGAGCGGCGCGAACGGGCTGATGCAGGTTCTGCACTTGGCCGCGTGCGCCGCCGACCTGCCGGCCGACGCGACCGGAGGGCACGGCGTTCGCATCTTCGTCGACGGCAGCGACGACGTGGCCCTGTGCGGCCCGCCACGCGGCCAGCCCCCCTCGGGCGAGCCTCACCACCACTCTCCGCGTGCTTAGGGCGATGGAGTGCGTCGGCGCTCTCTACCTCGGCCCGAAGATCGGCACCGAGAGCCGCCGCGGCTACGCAGCAACCGCGCAGCTCGGCGGCGGAGCGCCCAGCGGAGGCCAGGGTGGAAGTAGTTTGGCGCGCCGCCCCGCCCGGCCCCGCGTCGCCGCCCGACCTGCTCACCTCCGTCCCTCCCTCCCCTACTTCCCCCCCCCTCTCTCCTGCCGTGCTCTCCCGCCCCCCGCCCCGCCTCCTCCGCCCCCTCGCCCGCCGCCGGCGAGAGGGCGGCGGCGAGGAGAGCCTCCGCTTGCGGGCCCGACTGGCTCACCCTCCCTCCCTCCCCCACCGTCGCAGGCGATGTCCGACGCGGCGCTCAAGCGGCACGACGGGGAGAAGATGGCGAAGAAGGCTGTCGAGAAGGGCGAGGCGACGCCCGACCAGGAGAAGCTCGCGAAGCGCCGGGAGCTGACGTCCAAGGCGCGCCGCCCCGCCCGGCCCCGCGTCGCCGCCCGACCTGCTCACCTCCGTCCCTCCCTCCCCTACTTCCCCCCCCCTCTCTCCTGCCGTGCTCTCCCGCCCCCCGCCCCGCCTCCCCCGCTCCCTCGCCCGCCGCCGGCGAGAGGGCGGCGGCGAGGAGAGCCTCCGCTTGCGGGCCCGACTGGCTCACCCTCCCTCCCCCACCGTCGCAGGCGAAGTCCGACGCGGCGCTCA